AGATGTTTATTTTCCAGGATCAGCATCCATCACCAGTCTGATGCATTCAATGAATCCAATTCATTCTTTATTGTATTTTGAAATACGGTGGCTATTAAAAGCTTTGAAAGGCCCAGCGTCCTCTTGTTTTGGGTTTGTCTTTTCCACAGTCGAGCATGCTCGCGTATAAGCTGAGCAGGGAAACTGCTGGCAGCAGATCCATTCGCTCTGCTGGGGGTTAATACCAAAGGGCACCTCAGGGGAGGTAATGAGGCAGGAGAAATTTCGGCTCTTTCGCTCTCCCCGCTCGTGTTCATCCTGCTGGTCCAGAGAAACAACCACAGCTTTTTCTAGTTTCAGTCCCGTGTCTCTAACATTTCGATCGTAGAACTTAGTCTGGGAGACCTCTGCGGCTGACAAATTTTGTTGGGAAAAATAGGAACAAATAAAAACAGGCCATGAGAAATATCATTTTTTTTCAAAGTAGAACTCTAAATCCAAAACTGTTGCAATGTAGCCGCAGAGAAAAATAACTAAACAAAGCCAGAAAATCACATAATTATGGAGTAATAATGAATAAATTAATCAAATGTGTAGATCAAACAACAAAAGAAAAACAAATTCCAAGGTAATATGAATTAATTACTTATGCAAATGGGTTTCCATCCTCCACATCCAGTTTATTTAAATCCCAAAACGGAGAGAACAGCAGAAAATCAGGGGTGTCGTGTATGTCAGAAGCACTGTTGAGAGGAACTTCTCCCCAGATGGAAGAGAGTACATCAGCCTTACAGTGAATACATTAAACCCAACATGGCTCACAAATATTCTTTGTTGTTCCACATCCACGGGTCCACGCTGATCACCAGTGACATTTGCAAATGTTAAACCTCAAGCACACTGAGCAGAAAAAGAAAGAACCCCCCCCCCTGCAAAGCGCCGCTCACATGATGCATCACATCATGGATTCTGGTAACTAACTGACACATTGCATCAGTGAACATGTCAGGAGGCAAACACACTCAGACCCCCCATCAGTTTCGGGATATAATGGATCCAGCAGGCGTGCTGGTCCACGGAGGCCCTTTGAAAGTGCCACGACTCACATGAAGCCTGTCTGCGACTGGCCGTGCACCAGCACGTGCACGACGCTGTCTGTGAGGCGGCCCACAGAGGAGCCATGAAGAGAAAATGAGCAGGTTTTTTTACGGGGAGCAACAGTTCCCGGCTACAGAACAATAACCGTATGCTGCCTATGCAGTGTGTGTTCACCGATGGGTTTCGAATTGCTGGACAAAATCTTTTCCCTTTCAGTTGTTGTTTAGGGGGCTTTATATCGGCCTGTTGTAAGATGCTAAACAAATACTTTACATTTGTCTTAACAACTTAGCTTAGAATCATAATGGATCATTTGCATAGATTTCCATTAAAACATCCCATTTAAATGAGCTGAAATGATGTAGTACCAGACCCTGGACGCCTGGGTCTGCAAACCTGTGACAGGAAATGACTGTGAACTTAATTTGCGGCTCACACAGCCTGAGATGGAAAGCTAAGATAGAATGGCTTTTTTCCAACGCCGTGTATCTGATCACTAATTCCCCTCTTCAGTTGGGGACCGTCAAGCGCAATTCAATAGAGAAACTTTGGAAACTGAAAAGATTAGTTTTCCTATAAAAGAACTCCAAGCCCAGATAATCTTAATTGATGAACTCATACCGAGGAAGCCTCAGATAGGATTAAAAAAAGGACTTCCTATTGAATACATGAATGAATTGTTGGGCTGGCCTTAGAGTCAGAAGACTAAAAGAGCTCGAAATGAACCATGTAACTGGAAAACGTCTGAAAGACAGAGCAAATAACAACACAAAGAGACAAATAAACCCCACAGAGATGAACAGCTAACAAAAAGAAGCAATAAAGAACCAACAAAGTGCAAAACAACAGAAGGGAAATAACAAATATAAAAGGTAATAAGAAACAACAACAATAATAATGATAATAACGATAATAATAAGTAAAAAAAGAAAGGAAATGACCAAAATACATGCAAAATGACAACAATCAGGTTCACAACAAACACAGAAAGACAAAAAACAATATTAAGCAGTCGCACACAAACGTACTATAAAGGGACAAAAGAAAAAGCTGACTAAGGATACAAATGGACGATAAGAAAAATGAAAATAAGCAAAAAAAGCGAACTAAAAGTGATTAAGGACAGACATTGGATCACGCACACAAACAGAAGGGATGGACAGACTGCAAAGAGATAAAACAAACACAGAAAAAGGCTTGAACAGCTCCTCTTTGTTGCCCTCTAGAGGTTACAGCCATACCTCTGCAAGTCAGTTCAAGGGACTTGTTTCACAATCAGTCCATAAAAATTGGGATGGGTTAAACACACAGTGAAGCAAGGTCATGGTTCATATCATAATCAGATATCAAAAGGATTTTCTAAATTTGACCAGAAATCTTTGTTGCTCTCAATGCATAGATGATTCATTCAGATACCGATAACCAATCTGCTTACAAAAAATCTGAATAAAATGATACAAATTCAAGACAAGCAAAGTGAATTAAGAAAAAAAAAAACAAAGGCACGGGGAACAGTCCGGCGTGTCAGAGTGGGGAGCGAGCGTCACGATGGATTAAAGATGGATGAAAGGCCAGCGTCGGGTGCCCTGTGCCGCAGGTGTCTGTGCTCAGGTGTCACCAGCTGGCCGAGTCAAGAGAGCAGAGAACAGGAGATCAGCAGCTGGGGAAGTATCGGATCACCTCTGCCGAGAGCCATTCTGCTCCGTACCTGGACAAGACGACAGGTAAGGTCTTTGTACCGAGTGGATTTGAGGGGCTTTAAGTCCTCAGGATGCAGAGTTTGAATATTGCTTTTCTTTGATTAGAGGTGGGTAGCTGGATTAGCGATACGTTTATTGATTCATTTTGGATTTTTCTGTGCCACATTTGAAAAGAAAAAAAGCATTTTCTTCATTTTTAGCCATTAAAAAAAGCATGTATCAGCTCATACTGTATTTAACTCCGTTTTGCTTTACTCACATACGTAGAAATGCTTTTTTCCCCTTCTTCTGTCGATGAGGTTTGCTTGTTTCCAGGGTGCTGTATCCAGATGCCTTTATACAACGGACTGAATGGATGACAATGACTTTTTCTTTTTCAATTTGTCCCTTTCCCACCTGAGCCCTAGGTGCATTTGTTCAAATATAGGCTGCTAATCTCAGGAGATGGCCGCCTGCCCCTCTGCCGCCTCTTTTCCAAAAGCATTTCACTCCAGCAGACCGTCTCTTTAGGTTTCGAGGGGCACAACAAACAGCAGAGCCTTGTTAGAGAACAGGGGAAAAACTAAAATCAGTGTCGTTTCGAGTTGACTTTCCTCGGGTGGAGCCCCTCACATTGGAACACATTAGCTTCCAGACTTGGAAATGAGCTCAGTGCCAAATCAGCTTTTGTTCCTTAGTCTATTCACAGAACAGCAGGATCACAGCAGGAACCACAACCCAAGTGAGAGGAGGAAGTCTCAATCCATTTTCACCTTCATAACCCTCGTCTCAAAACTTTGTAGCATCCCGTCTGACTCAGTTAGATAATAAAAAGATATTTTTGGTGCATCACCCCTAACTTTTCATCACACTTACCTCACAACCTCTATTATAGATACAGCTCTTTAAAGTAAAGGCTGGAAAGAAATGAAAAGACTGGGCTTCCAGGTTTTAAAATCCTTACCCACATCCATAATTTTGGCCTGGTGTTATGAAAAGTGTTATCTTTTTATATACTTCAGATCCAAATTCTTCTTACTGTGATTAGCCTAATTTCAATCATGCTAACCAGATTTTTAGAAAAACTCATTTTCAGACAAGAATGCATGAGATTTAAATCAGATTGGATATTTTTTATGTTTGTATCTTATCACTACATCACCCTTTAGGAGTTTCTGGTTTAACATTGGCTAGGAAATTGTTTTCAAAGGGTATATGGTGTATGTTAAAGAGTCCCTCTAATTTTAGAGTCATTTTAAAGGGAATTTTACCAGTCTTAGGGGGCATTTATCAACTCTGCTAGCTAACAAATGCATGTGCCATATTTAAAACTGACCAATCAGAGCAGTCGGATATATTATATTTTTATCTGAAATACAGAAACGTGAGCACACAGCTCACTTCAGTTGCCAAAAAAGTTGCGAGCCATCCCTGATTTGTTTCAGACTCATTAATGAGGGAAAAGCTTTCATTGGATGACAGGCCTGGGCTGCAGACAGACAGCTTAAGCTAACAGACTTTCAGACGACAGCCGCATGCCATGTTAATAAAAAAGTTCCTTGACAACGGCACCATCTGGATGGCAGCATGCAGCTCAGAGATGCCTCAGTATTAGAGGTGCCTCCCCAGATGTGCGACTTCCCCATGTCACATGCACAACTCAGCACCGGGACTCACAGAGTTTGTCTTCTGCTTGGCAGAGAGGATGCAGCGTCCATGTTTTCCTTGTGATTAAAAAAATTAGCTTCCCATTTTGCCTCAGCATATTTAATCAGATTTAACAGCTTTTACTCACCTCATGTGGAGGCATCCCAGGTACCTCTGGTTTTAACCAATGTGTGTGTTTAAGGAAACAACTAAGTGTTGATGTCATGTTTTGAATACGCTTTTGATAAGGCATTTATTTCCAATACAAAATTACCAAAAGACACTGACTCACATCAAGGGATGATTCTTGTCTGATTTCTGGATTTTCTGAATCTTTTGCTTGGATTACAGCAGTTGTTAGGAGAACTGTTCATTGTAGGTGCTCGAGCTATTTCACAATGTGTTTTGACACAGACTCAGAATTTTTTGCATTTGTTTCGGTTCAGAAGTGACACAAGTCGTCCAGGGAGTTATGCTCCATCCACCTTTACAACTCAGGCTGTCAAGCGAAATGTTTATGAGTAAAAACCTCAAATAAGAGAGGATTGTTCTCATACTAAAACACATGTGCTCCTCTGACTCGAGGTGTGAAAGACAATGGACTCACGTCAAAAGGATTGTCTGAGAAGAATGAGGAGAAACAGTCAGACTATACTTCGGGATCTTCTTCACAGGGGAGTTCACGATGGAGACAGAGGCTCTCCTGTAAGTGTCCATGTTTCCGATTTATATCAGAGCTGTTATTATAGTGAATACCATAACCATGATTACAGTTTATAGCATAATTCTGCAACCTAATGGTCCAGTCTTCTTTTCTGTGTGATAATCACAGTTTCCAGCTCAGCCAAGAGACTCTAAAATGATCCACTCCATTGCGAGTCTCATTAGAGCAAAGAGCAAACTGCTGCTTCTTGAAAATCCAGACACGGTGGAAATTTACAAGGTAAGCCTCAGTTTTGAACAATGCGTTTTTCATAGGTGCTATTATCCCTTTCGTGTTTCACATTTCCATGAAGACAGATAGAAAATCCCACAGACTTTACAGCCATTTGTGCTGAAATGTGTAATTATTGTGTCCGCCAAGTCGAACTACTGCATCTAAACGGTCTGATTCTTATTTCAGGAATGTGCTATGGACCATGTTCTACAAATTTGAAATATCTAAAAAAAAAACATGTTATTTTCCTGCCCAAAGATCTGTCACTTTGGGCAGGAAACGAAACGCATCCTGCAAACGGAATTCACAAAATTACACGCTTATCAGACCACAAAATTACGACACCAAAACGCGCTCTGTATTAAATTCACATTCATACTCAGTTGTAGGTTTCTCATCTGCCGAAAATGAAATTGACGGAGAGTTCTTATGCAATGACACAGTAAACAAAATTAAAACTTAGTTCAAGTCATGTTTATGCTTTTTCTTTAAATTGCTGCATGTTCTGAATCCAGCTGAACGAGCCAGAAACAGCCGCGTATAAACCTGGAAAAGAAGACGCTTATCTTCCAGCCATCTCAACAAAAGTTTCCAGTCTGAGTACAATGAAAGGGACCCTGAGTCAGTCCTGCCCTTATTTGTACGACAAACGAAGAGGATCCTTCTCGTCCGTTGGCTCTCAGAGAACAGCGGGTTACCCTAAAAAACAGGTGGGTCTTCAACTTTTTCAACTCCCAATGAACTTCAGACACACGCTTATTAAAAAAGTTACAATCTTCTATCTTGGCACCAGAGGAATTTTAAGGCGCTGAGAGAGGCTAAGAAATCCAACGTGACTGTGATGATGGTCTATCTGGGACAAGGCCGCCGAGGGCCGGGGTCTGGAGCGGACCAGGACGAACTGAAGGTTCTTCAGCAGGTGAACGGAGGGGAAAATATCTGCGTCTTCAAAGGTCTGGTAACTCCAGGAGGTAGGAGCCATTAGGAGAGCAGATTACTCACTTTCCCTCAGCCATTAACCCTTTAGCATCCCTCTCCACCATTCGGCAGAGCACATTCCTCACTGATTATGGGATACATTAGGGAAAGTGCACTTAGCTAAACTAGCACTAGAATTAAATTTAAGCATGAGTTAGCATGACTTATGAAATGTCTTCTTTTTTAATGTTAGTCTTTTACATGAAGTGTCAACCCAACTATGAGTGAATAAAGGTTGTTTAGCCCCAAAGAAATAACAAAAAAGAAAAGAAAACCAATATTTCCCAGTCTTTTATTCCAGGTGTTGATGTTAAAAAGTTAAGTGAGGATGCTGATGCTTTTAACGGCCTCTTAAAGGTCTTTTTTTGTGGATTTTTTAAAGCTTTAAACCAATGTAACATGTTGTTAATAGGGGTGGGGCTAGTCACAATGAAGCAAAAGAATAAACAAAAATTATCTAATTTAAACTTAATGTGATAATAATATGGTAATTGATATTCATACTTAATTCTAAATTAAAAAAATAGAGGAATGTTACATCAATCTTTGTAAAACCGAGACACTGCTGCAGACAACTTTTGAAACCTATTAAGAAGTCTGACTTCTGCTGATTCTAACATCTGTTTGAATAACAAGCCCTTTTGCTTTTAGATGAAGTGCACAGTATGTGCTGACTGTGAAATCTAATGAAACATTAGACTGTTTTTCAGTATCGAATATCTAACCCTCACGTCTGTCTTCCTCCAGATAATTGACATCAGTTGCCGTTGTTACAGTTTTAGTTGAAATGACACAAATGGATCGGCCCTTTGTGCCGCTTTTGCATGAGGATCCGTCTTCCGCCCGTTCTGTGGACAGGATATTGCTGCAGCTCTTTCCAATCACTTCTATTTCCCCACAACGTCAAACCGGCCTCAATTTTGCTGTCATTACTCCATCCCAGCTCTCTTCTTAGCCCTGCTCGCAAGCCAATCTATGCCTATTTGATTCCTTGCCTTTTTTTCTATTTTTTTAAATGTCATTCCACCTTTGAGACTATCATTTGTGCAATTCTCTGTTCGCCCATCTTCCCCCCTCACTGCGGTTGTCTGTGGCTTTTCGAAACAATGTTTTTTTTCCAGGCATCTGCCAGATAAACTCCACAACCAGCGCCGTCTCGACTTTCAGCGCGCCGTCTTATTTTCTGCTCTCACTGTAGACACAGCTTTGCCCCAGACATTTCAGAATCTAGCTGCCAAAAAATTCTACAATCTCACCAAAATAACATTCACTTTCTCCTCTTGTTCTGTCCTCACTGAACTTGTATGTTGCCTGGCTTTAGGCAACAACAGTACATAACAGTACGTATGATTGCACTCATTATAGGGCCTTTATTAGAATAGGATTTTAAAAAACACTACTGTAGTTTTAATTATCCATAAGGAATAGATTTTGTGTATTTTCAAGGGAACTCTCATTCCTAAATCCAACAATACTTTCTCAGAGGAGGCCGAAACGTTGTCACTTTAGGTTTAGATGGCCGCCCTCCCTGAGCCATGGTTCTGCTCCAGGTTTCTGCCTGTTTTTCCTTGCCTGTGTCGCCTAGTGCTTGCTCATGGTGGGAATTGTTGGGTTTCTGTAATTAACTTCAGAGCAGGGTCTGACCTGCTCTGTTTGGAAAGCGCTGTGGGACGGCTGTTGTTGTGGTGTAGCGCTGTATAAATGAAATTGAATTGAATTTAATTCATTTTAATTTTGTAATGTCATTGTCTGAACGTGTGTTTGGACCGATTTAGTATTTTATGATTTTGTGTTGTTTGGTCTTCCTGCCTCAGGACGACAGATGTAAACTAGCAACTATGCTATAATCTGGCTCATTTACAATCTGTATGAGATTGTTCGTTAATGTGCACTGTCCTCATTAAAGAAATAAATAAAAATGTCTGTCTCCATGTACTTTTCAGAGCGGTTTCAGTTTCTGTCTCAGAGACACCGAGGCTATCCCTTCAGTGCCACCTTTTACGTCAACGGCATCATGGCGACCCGGATCAGCTCCTGCTGCGAGTACCGCTACGCCCCCGGGTTCCAGCAGGGCAGGAAGAGCTGCTTCAGGCTGACCTGGCTAGCGGGGGGGGCGCCCTGCTACAGGTCAGGACACAATTACAGATCGGCGGGAGGTTAGACGGATTGATGGGAACGATGTTGTTGATGGAACAGGGGGACGGGAAATAGGACCCTCCACGAGAGCCCCATTTCTCATCTTTTTTTTCAGATGCACCAGTCTCAGAAACAAATTCGGCTCCTGCCAGCAGCTGAGCAGCAACACAAAGGACAACTTAATTCTCCCTCTCCAGCAGAACGCTGGCAATGGTACAAAGCCTCCAAATAAGCGTCTCCGTTTTCTCTTACTTCCTAAAGCTTATTCAGCAGCATTTTTTGATAATGAGCCCAGTCCTCGGTTTTCGATGGACTAGTTTAAAGACTCAATGTGCCACGAAGCCTTTTTTTTTTCTTCCTGTCATTTTGATGTATCCAAACACAGGCTCCGCCGAATCGTGCAGATCATCCCCGCTTTTTATCCCGGCCAAACCCGCGAGGAAATCAGAGAGGAGGACACGAAAACACGTGGAGGACGGAGGCCGTGGGTCAACAGACAGCGAGGACCCCTCTGCAGCAGCCGGGACCAAAGAAACCTCCCGGAAGAAAAGTCGCAAGGGTCAGAATAATCGTAAAGGCAAGACAACCGCAAACAACAGAGAGGACGAGGGCAGAGACAGCAAGGGCTCAGCCAGTTCAACAGTCACAGAAAAGCCTAAAGATCCGACCAAAATACGACGAAACCAGCTGAAAACAACCAGCAGTGTCACGGCACGGCAGGGAGAGGAAAGCAAGGCCCCAAAAACTCACGGTGAGCACAATCTGACTCCTTTTGATTGGTTTTATTCCCGTAACAGACAGAGGAAAGGAAAAAAAGAAAAAAAGAAAAAGTCCCCCTTGACCCCGAAGCCAAAAGCATGTGGTATTTCCATTTAGCTGTGTCTCTGTGGGAAGAATGGGAGAGAAACGAGTGCGCTTCTTTTTTTTTTCAAAGTTTCAGACCGGGGCGAGGAGGCCCTGACTCAGCAGAACAGACACAAACAGGCCGCGGACCCGGGACCGGATGGGAGAAACGGAGACGGGGAAAGGCGGAGAGACTTGTATGAGGAATGCGTGGAGATGAGCGCCGCGTTGAGCCGGGGCCCCGAAAAACACCGGCTCAGGGCCAGCAGTGAGTAAAGACGCCGCTGCAGCCGATTCACGTATTTCTGCGGGAAAAAAAAAAAGGAAATAGCCGAGATAGTGCTCTGAGCAATGTCTGCTGCTGGCAAGATGGATGACCTGTGGGAGAGATCACACAGAAACACTTCACACAGACACATATGAACCATATAAATCCACGCACACCCCCCTTGTCACTCACATAAATATCCAAACATCATACATCATCATTAAATTTATCGCTATCTGGCAGTTTTACAGCACCTGTGCTTTTCAATATTTCCCCCCCTCTTGTATGCCAAGTCCTGGAGAGGTGCCGGCTCCAGAAGAGCCTGTCGTCGTGCGGTAAAGCTGGGGGCTCGGATTTGGAGCTCAGCGCAGAGAGCGAGGGCCCGGCGCTGCCCGACGGAGAGCCGGAGGAGGAGGAGGAGGAGGAGGAAGAGGAGGAAGAGGAGGAAGAGGAGGAAGGAGGCGCAGCGACCTGCCCCGGCCCTGGCGGAGAAGAGCCTGTTAAGGAACGAGACCTGCAGGCACAGGTGTGTGTTCCACACACGTTTAGCAGGGCGCGTCCGGGCTCCTGCCAGAAGCCCCGCTGGCGTCCAATCACAGGCTCGGTGGATTAAGCAAAGGGGCTCTTTACCTTGTGTAAGAGCTGGAAACAAACGGTAGAATAAAATGCCAACGTCAAAGCAATACGTTGCTCATCACACAGACATTTCCTCTCGCTTTGCGTGGAACAAATCCGAAAACAATTTTTTTGTGTCGTTTCTGAGGGAATCACCTTGCTTCAAGTCTTCAGCGCATCCATGTGGTGTTAATCTGTAAAAAAAAGGCTCAGTCATGCTTTACTTAAGTGCCAACCGCCTCATATTTAAGGCTAATCGCACAGATTGCCTGTTTCGACACAGATCTTTAACGATCGCCTGAAAACGATCGAGTTCTGTGAGCTGCAGGACTTTCTGTAAATCTGACATGACAACAGACGTCATCAGATGTCAGACTTTGATAGAGATGACTTTTACTGAAAAAAGAAAGTATCCCCCTATATGAATATTTACCCTCATCCAGTAATAGCTGCTGATGGATGTTTGCAGTCAATGTTGGCCAGTCCTATATTTTAGCCCGGAGGAAATGAACCCATTTCTTTTGTAGAGTTCAGACCTGTTCTCGATAGTTCCTTAAATGAAATATCCACTTAATTTACTGGCAGATATGTTACTCAGGCATTATATAACATTAGCATTAGTATGTATGAATAGCCCTTATTATGTTTAACTATGTTTTTATTTGGAGCTTTTCATCTTTGTCATCTTCACATTTTCCAGTATTATTTGCTGGAAAAAATAATGCTTTTTTCATGGTTGATGGCCAGCCGTCCAAAACCATTTCAGTCCCACCACCACAAAATAAGGCAGTTGGCCAGAATGGAAGGTTTTCCTTTCACCAAGCATAATGTTTCTGGTTTCTACTCGAAACATCCACAAAAACGCTTTATTCATTGACCCCTTTGTTTTTCAAGGGGACTGAAGAATAAGCATGACCATGAGAGCAGACTTCACTCACTCTGAAGTGCTTTTTTAATGCCACACCAAATTTAGAGTCTTTTTTTGTTAGCGTGATGTGATGTTTGGTAATGGTGATGTTATATATCACTGATTTGAACACAGTGGCATTAAGGGCTCCCTTTCCACTGTTCTTTAGCTGGGATTGAGGTTTTAGGTTTAGATTAGTAGGATGTGTCCACAAAGGCCCTGTTTCTCCTTTTATTCTAACCATTTTTTGTTCATTCTGCTTCCATATTCATTCTGTTTAAATGATGACAAAGTATTTGCCTGTTTCATCACTGTTTAATTGTCTCGGTTTCAATATAAAGGTCACATCGCACATTTCCCACTGTGGCACCACAAAAAGATATTATGAATGAGAAGAGACGAGTCACTGAAAAGTACAAATTTCATGTATTGTATCGCCTGATATTTCGATCTGCTGCTTCGTTTTTAAATGGATGAAAATATCCCCTCAGTATCGCTTTGATAAGTTAGTTATTGTCCACCTTGTCTCGGAAGAAAAAAAAAAGAAAGAAAGAAAAACTCGACAGTGCAAAATCTGGCTAAAAAAGTACCAAAAGATCTTTGTCATGGAGGATTTCCTTCAGTGATATGAACTTCATTAATCAACCACATATTCATTCTGTACTGGAGGATTATTTCATCGTTTGGGAGTCTAATGGGCAAGCTGTGACAAACAGCTACTGAATTTTATCTTGGCCAGGCAGGCTTTTGGCTTCGTTGGACGGATGATGAAAAAGCTTCCGATAGTGGCTGAAAAATTCCTCAAGGTCTGGCAACGTGGCGTCGTGGACGTGGCCGACGGCCAGAGAGAATGACTTTCATCTGGTTGTTTTTTTCTTGGAAAAACGTGCCGCACCTGTCTCACCCCGAGTTTTCCTTCCCAACCACTGACACACTTTGGGGCACAAAATTCAAATGAATTTCAGCATGAAATGAGCATAATCGCCAAGAAAGAAAGAAGTGATTTTTGTAAAAAGATAGCTGAAGAAAAACTTAGATGTAAGATATTTCTACAACACTGGACATAAATAAGTAAACACAAACCAAGAACACGACACGCATTTTTTCATGATAACACAACCTCCCTAGGAAATCTCCAACTAAGTGAAAAAATACAAAAAACTTTCATGCTTTTTTGAAAAGTATATGAACTCTCACAAAACCAAACCACGTTAGAAAAAAAAAACATCTTCCAAATATAAAATTAATTTCTCTCAATCGTAGCTGGACGCCATGATGACGGTGCTGACCACGTCGGACGAGGTGGACCAGCTGGTTCTGAGGAACACCGACCTGACGGATGACCACCTGCTCAGTCTGAGTCGGGTCCTGAAGAGCAGCCCGTCCGAGGTCACCATGCTCAACCTCAACCTCAACCTCATCGGCCCGTACGGCGCCCACATCCTGCTGGACGTTCTGAGAGCCAAGCCGCAGGTCAAAAGCTTGCAGTAAGTTCCAGATAACAACAACAATACCAACGACCAGATGAGGAATAAGTTCAACCCCCCCCATCGGGCAGCTTTTGGCTCTGCAAATATAACAAAAGAGAAAAACAAGACGAGCAAAATGCTGCCGCAAATCGAAAGAACTGAAGGTTTGCAGAAAATCTAAGCTTTCCTTCCTAAATTACATAATCAGTCTTTGATGTGATCAAAGAAAAAGCCTTCACTTGATTTTTTTTCCTCAGACAAAACCCAGTCATAGTGCAGGAACTTGCCTTTGTGAGTTTGGATCAAATAAGCCTGACAGCTCCAAAAAAAAAAAAAGAAAAGATAAGGTTCACGCTGACATGTGACATCAAACACAGGACAACACAAAGCATAATGTTTGAGGGGAAAAAAAACACACTTATTAAGATAATAATTTTGCGTTTTGACACCAGTCTCGCAGCCGCAGATGTTGCCGGCAGATGTTGACTTTAACAGCTTTGAGCGGGCCCAGGGAAGCTACTGGTCACGGCCCATAACGCCCCCCGAAATTGGTGTGTTATTGTTTAACGCTTTAGTTTTTATAAGAATTACACAAACGAGACACGCTGTGCTACATACCGAGCCGCTCCGTGGAGTTTGTTACCGGTGTCGGACCATCTGTTTCCCTGGTTCTGGTGGATGAACCAACCAGCTGCTGGAGGTCTGGGTTATGTGTAGCATCAGCTCAACATTGTTCTTTGCTTTGACTCTTTGATTACGACCCAATCTTACCAAAACCTCTGGCTTTACCAAAGCCTTTTGCTTCGGTAAGAAGATAAAAAGCTAAGATTGAGCATAATTCTGGAAAGGAGAGCAAACTAGAATATGGAACTAGAATAAGAGAAGAAGCCAAAGAAAAGCTGAAAAAGACATAGAGTGGAAGAAAAAAGGCTGAAGGGAGGAATAATTTTAAAGTGCTGAAAAGTAAAGAGTGGAAGAAGAAAGGTAAAAAGATTAGAAGAAAAGTAAAGAGTAAAAGGCCATGAAATTATAGATAAGGTACAAGAAAATTTGAACCAGCAACTTCTGGAGCTGGAGTCAAAGGCTCTACCACTGGACTATTCCACAGGCCAAAAGGCTGCACAGGAATTTTTTTAATCTATTCATTAAATGAAGAAATAAGGCATAAAAGGTTAAATATCTTTAAAAGTTTAAAAGATTTGAACACCAAAAGTCAAAGCTGCATAGTGCTGAGATAGCTGAACATTTTGATACCTTATTTGTTGAAATGGGCTGAAAGCTGTAGGAGTAGTTAGATGTAGAAAAACGTACGGAATAAAGAATAATAAAGAGAAACAGGAAAACAATAGTGAAACAAAAGGTAGAAATGGTGTAAACGTGCATGATTTTTTCTTCTTTTTTTTTCTCTTCCTCAGCTTGTTTGGGAACAGACTGCGTGACCACGGCGTGCTGACCCTGTTGGCGGGCGTGGCCGAGCTGCAGGCGCCCGCCGGGTGGAGCTCTCCCGGGGTCTTCACCCTCCTGGAGCTGGACGTGGGCGCCAACGGGCTGGGCAGCGACGGGGTGCGGGTGCTGGCGTCCTACCTACGATCTCACTCCCGCCTCCGGTACCTGGGGCTGGCTCGGACCGCCGCCGCCGACCTGGCGGCGTGGAAGGAGCTCTTCCAGAGCCTGAGGGGGGACGGCTCGCTGGTCCAGATCGTCCTGGACCAGAACAACCTGGGGGACCCGGGGGTCCGGCTTCTGGCCGACGCCCTGAGGGAAAACCGCGGCCTTCTGCAGGTGGATCTGGACGGGAACGCCGTCAGCGACGTGGGGGGCAACGACATCATGGCGGCGCTTCTTTGCAGGAGGGGGGTCCCGCTGAGACGCCTGAGCCTCCAGGAGAACAACATCAGCGCCGGGCTGATGAGCCGGATACAGGAACAGGTGGAAAACAGACTTTAAAAAGACGACAAACAACCAAAACGAAGAAACAGCTTGAAAAGGGGGAGTTATTTGTCTTTATTTTGAGGTCGGAGAAGAAAAAGAAGCCGGACTCATCTGGATTATTTGACCGTCAAAAGCTCACAGAGAGGTCTACCCCCGCCTAAAAGTGGGCGGCCATGCTAACGAACGCAGCATCTTTTTTAGTTTAGTCCGGGCCGGGGGGTGTGGGAGGATTGCTTGCTAGAAGAGGCCTGCACGGCGGTCTGGAGGCATTTTCAAAGACGCGCGATTGAACCGACCCCTTTTCCTCCGCGTGGTGAGGTTGACCCCCCTCCCTCACCTCTTTCTTCCCACCTCCTGACTTCCCGCCCACTCCGCTAAAGCCTTCTCCAGGCCCGTATCTCGCCGGGCCCCTCTGATGTTTCATCCGACAATCCGAAAAGTCGTAAAAAAAGAAGCGGCCGTGATTCATTCCACCCACAGTGTTTACAAGTGGACAGCTTACTCACAGCCCCCCCCCCCCCCTCTACCCACCACCACCACCACCACCACCACCGCTTCTCACAGAACATCACAGCAAACATCAACAGATAGCCTCTCTCCCCCTTTCCACAAATCAAAGGAGTGTTACGGACGACCAGGCTGTGCCACGTCAACCACCCCGGTGTTCTCGCTCTTCTTTTTTCTCGTGTGCGAGACAGAGCTTCTATTCAGGAGGGAGAGCGAGATTTGGAGGGGTGAGGGGGGTGTGAGGGGGGGTGGGGAGGTCCAAGCTGAGGAGAATTCATCTAAACATCAAGGGGCCGTCGCCTCCTTCGCTCTATCAACGCTGACATTTGGAGGAGAACCGTACCTGTGATCAAAGCTCGTCAGAGCGGTAATTATCTCTTCCTCTCCGAGTGATTCTGCTGAAAACCCAGCCGTCAGCGTCTCATCGGCAGAATTAGCTAAATTCCTTTCTGCGGAACCATGATAAAGACGTTACCCAAACTCCCCCTCACCCCCCAACCCGGGGAGGATGACAGATAAACCAGCCTGGCGTTTTCCTTCAGATTGCATCTGCCCGTCGACAAAAAAACAACCACGCCTGACCGAGCCCCGAGCCAGAAAACAAGAGCAGCTCTGTGATTGGCCGGCTCTAGGCATCTCTGTTACACCTGAAACTCAGATCACTGACCCACCCCTCCCCCCATTGTCCGACCACCGATGCACTTGCCAGGAAAGAAATCCTGCCATGTAACCGGCATCTTTCGGCTGCCTTTTCGAGGAGTTAGGCCCCCCCGACCAAAGAGTCTCAGTCTGTTTGGAATTTGCAATTGTGATAACTCAGCATCAAAGTTCTTTAACTGTGTCCTCTTGTTCTGGAATAATCAAGTTTAGCACGTCATTCATCAGTGCTTTACAGATTACAGTTCGACATACCTAAATACTTTCCAGTGTACCCCCAAATGCAACTAAAAGGAAGAGTAGACGAAGCCTGCACACTGGAAAATGGGACCTAACTTTCAGCTAACTGATATTTCGCTCAGAGCCAACTGGAAAATTGAAAGTCTTGGGAATTGAGTTTCTTGGCACTGACCAAAGGCATAAACAAAACAAATAAAGTGAACAATGTTTCAGTGTTCAGACCTCCTTTAGGTTTCTCGGGCTAAGTGCTGTTATTTATTCCTTCTGACAGTATATAAAGGATTTGTGTCTGGATACTTAGCCCCTTAACTTTTGACATATTTGTATTTTGGTCCTCTGTATAAGCAGGGTTGTTTTTTTTTCCTCCAAAGACCATGATTTAAAAAAAATGTCCCTGTATAAAATGGAATACCACAAATAATTTTTAGAGACATTTATTGTACACTCAGTGTTTGATGTTGACAAAAGACTCATATTTGTAATCCCGGATAGCCACAAAATGTAGTATTTCATGCACTTGACTCTATAATAACTTCGATCTTTCATCTGATGGATTCTTGAAGTGAAAATGACTGTCTAGTGAGCAACATTACCTTGAATGTGTGGGAAATGTGATGAAACTGAAACACAGTATATGGCAATGGACGTACCCGTCAAACAAATGCTTCTTTCTTTTGCCATGGACTCAAATCCTATTGAGTACGGTGGCCTAATTAAACTCAAATTGAATTGATAATGATCATTATCATCAGTTTGGATAATCAGAAACTAAATAGTACTCAAAAGAAATGTAACTCTCTTTTTTTTCATCACCAAACACATGGAAATCGCCAATAATCAATCATTATTTTCAAAATTTAGCTCATACGTGGTATCCATACATACTAGTTAGCTGTATAACAAAATGAAATAGACTGAAAAGAAGCGGTAGGCCAGCCTGAATGCCAAACCCCTCTTTTAACTCAGGTCTAATTTCACACACGGGCACGAAGGAGTTCGTTATATGTCCTCAGTCCAAAGATTTGAATACAAAATTTCTGCATTGGTTTGGATAGATCCCACAAAAAACCCCGGAAACAGTTCCTGGCTCTGCGGCATGCTGATCAAGCCGTCTCGTTTTTGCCAGCACGTGACGATGAAAAGCAGGCGGCTGCCTTCCAGGACTCAGAAAAGCATCCTCCAAGCTTCTGCTGTAAACAGCGAGCGCGGAGCAGGAAGTTGATGTTGGCTCCCACTCGATGCGCGCAGCGTAGCAGAAGATAAATGTCGAAAAAAGCCTGGACGCAGATGAGAGTGAGGGTCACCGCAGAGTGACCTCATGGCGAGCTCTGCCAGGGATGGAAAAACAGAACACTTTGCCACTATCAAACGCTGCCTGGAGGTGGACTCCGCTTCAATATGCCTGGAATCGAATTTATTCCAAATGCGTGTTTTTTTTAGTCATCCTACAGTGAAGGCAGCACAGTGTGCAAAGCAGCTAACAGAAAGTGTTCAGCAACAAAAGAACAAACACGGGGTGGCTAAGCTATACAAGGGGGCAGTTGTTTAGCTTTCGGTTTGATATCAAACTGGGGCTTTCTCTGGAAAAAAAAACCCAGAAGGATGAAAAGTTTAAGAGACAGCTCCTGGAACAATGGCGGCGACTGCTGTTTGACATTTGGCAGAAAGAACAGCTTTTCAATATGGATTATTCATCAGCGGTTTGATCCTCCGCTCAAATGTCACCACAACAATACCTCCGGCCTGGCGGCGGGGGCCTGTCTCCCCCCAGGAGCTGGCAATCATTACCGCGTCCCAGAGTCGGGTCCGGGGACAGATTAAGACGTTTTTGCCCGAGCACACATTGTGTCTCTCGAACTGTTGCTGCTTTTTTTACTGAGACGCATTACATCACCGCAAACCCCGTGTAAGTAATGACTGATGACGTCCTCCAAATGGATGATTAAGATCGTGGTGCCTTAGCCAGCAGCCTGAACCCAAAACATGTTAGCAACTAACGAGAGCCCTGATCTCATTTAAAAAATGAAAGGGGGGGGGGACCTGGTTTGAAGCTATAATTTGAAGCTAGTCTGCAAAGTACAAACAGCAGTCCCGATTTTCTTCTTTAAAAGTGTTTCTTTGAGCCATAAAAGCAAAATCTAAGCTGCAAATATCTATTTACAGTCAAAAAGTGATCTGCTGACTCATTTAGCAAATAAGGAGCAGCGTGGGTTTTTATTTCAGGCACTTTGGCCCCCGGCTTACACCGGCGCCGACTCCCGTCCAGCTATTTTCCAGCTACACGGAGTGGTCTCGGTTTACTCTCACAGCCTCCCGGTGCCAGTTTCAGCCGTTATTGGGAGGCAAAACGAGAGGAAAATGCTGCATAAACGTGATGAAAGAGTGGGAGCATTGCCGATTCTGAAAGGGACAATATTATCTGGTCGAATCTTTTTGTCCGCAGCAAATTTGGAATGCAGATCTACGTACAATAAATTATAAATCCTCTTCTTTTTTTCCGGTGGCTCCCGATGATTACTTTTCCGCCTACACGAGCTCAAAATCAGGAATAAAGAGCTTCCTGCATTCGTGACATGAGGCTTCTTGTTTCCTGCGGGTTCCTTCATGCTCTCGCCCTTCAGCTCCAAGCTGACCTCCTTTGCCTTTTCACCCCTGTCCTGACTTCTCCTTTCAGGTTGCACCCGGGGGGGTGAGGGAGGGGGGTGGGGGGAATAAGCCTTGAAGTGTTGATGATCTGTCGGACGGTTTAAGCCATCACTCACAGCTCACTTAATTGATTTATTTGTGCTTTCTCAGCTAAATCCACAGTTGATTTAATCTGTTCTATATTTTGTGTGTTATATTTTAGGTGATTTTGTATCTCAAAAGGGCCTTTTTTGACTAAGAGCCATTATCATGTCATAGATAATTACCTGTTTGTACTGTAAGCATCAGGGAATAATAAGAAGGCAAACAAACAATTTCTCCCAAAGTTGTCACCTTCCTGTTGCTGCTTCAGCTAATCCACAGGTCCAAGCACGAGGAAAATATTTAAATCATTGAAAACTAAGAAAAGCCAATTAGCCTCACAGTTACATCTGGAGGAAGAAACTTTATTATAAAAAAATACAGACTTTATTTTTCTGTTTTGAGCCAATAAACTTGTCTAAATTTCCTGTTGTAACGTATGGAATGGGTAAACAGAGCACCGGGACACGCTCTTATTGGATCCAGCTGTGTCTATACAGAGTTTTCTGCATTCAGCTGGCCCCAACTCCCCAAGACATGAGAGATCAACAGAAGAGTCGACGTTTATTTGACGCGAATTTCCATCAGATGTATGCTAAGCTTATGTTTCGGCGCTCCTCTTAAATATAACGTTATCCAAACCATCACAGCTTTAGATTTTGCGATGTTTTTACGGTGAAACAGGCTTTTTTGAACCGTGCAAAATCCTGCGCTGCTCCCCTGACTGATTTATGGACTCAGATTAATTGATGCAGATATGGTATGGGCATGGAAATAAGAGTGACACCGTCAGCAGGAAAAGAAATCCTCAAATTTCCTGCAGACGTTGAAGCTCTAATAATGTCAGCGTACACAGCTGACTTTTATTACCCACCCTCGGTCTG